ATATTGGAGATTCCATGAGAAAATGGGATATTCTCTACCCCAATACTTCCTGACTTTTGCAGTTCCATCCCATGGGCATCCCAATGACCTTTTGTCAAACTGAAATGTGCCTTAACCCCAGAAAAACCCAAAATCCCTGTCATGCAGATACTGTATACTGCAAAGGAAGTCTTCCACCATCCAATGATTAAAAGCATATATTGGCAGCTCCTTTAGTGGCGTGATTTCATTTAGGAATTCCTCAATGAGTCGACATATACCTGTACACAGTAAAAAAAAAATATTAGAGCCTGTTTGGCACGTGGTCATTTCATTTTGAATTATGGACCATCAGATCACCTGCGTGAATAATTCCCTAAACAGGATGAAATGCCAGAGTGATTTCTTCTTCGGGTCCTATAATGATGCGGACGGAATAAGTCTTCGAAGCCACGACTTGTTATAGTGGACAGGAGATGATCGAGGTTTGGGGGGGAAACGTCGCAGCGGGACGCGTAAACGGTTGAAAGAGCAGATTGATTCTCTCCCCTGGCCCCGGCGGGTAATTAATTCTGGCGCCTGGGATATAAACGCAGGCAGGGAGCCTAAGATCGCTTTCCTGCTTCTTATACTCTACTGTGCTGTACACACGTATATTGTAGATTTATTCTTTCTCGACATGCTGCGTTACAGCAGCGTGTATCGCGGCAGTGTAAGTAGCAGATATCCGGCCAGCAAGCAAGTCCCTCATTGCACTATGCCCAGCAGACCGAAGTTCCTTTTCAATCCATGGAACGGAATTTTCCCCATCATCATCCCCTTCTTTTCTGTTTTTCCTTCGTTTCGGGTTCTCTTCGAAATTGCGTGGGGGGGGGGGGGGGGGGGGGGTCCCATCTCTTCGAAATTGCGTGGGGGGGGGGGGACGATCACCGTATCATCGTCCTTTCGGGGCTTTTTTTTTGCTGCTGCTGGTGAAGTGCCCTTATTTACATGCGCATTTTCTAAATTGCAAAACCTAGCAGTGGGAAAAATTCGCTGTGCAGATATACAGTATAAATCCCAATAACAAACGGACGTCCTGGCTAATGGATGATATGAATTAGGGACACTTGAAACTGTAGAATAACTGCCCTGAAATCTTGAAATTGTCTCAAGGAAATTTAAAATTTCATTTTTCTAACTGTTGATATCTCCTGAACAAATAGAGCTATTTATATTCACAAAAATTAGAAATAAATTGTGAAATAAAATTACTGTACTCCAATTCACAGTAAAATAAAGACTAATTTTGTGCTTTTTTCTTTATAAAATTTTTCCATGCCTAAAGCGCAGTAAAGCTAAACTTTTTCTTGTTCTTTGATTTTTAAAGCTCCTTCTGATGTCAAATGATCAGCTTCTGTGAGCTTTGCTTCTGCACAGCTGTTTTCAGCATCTCAAATAAGTTGAAAAAACATATTTGTTTAAATGTTTGGGGACCATATTCCAAAATTGTGATGAACAGGAGAACCAATTAAGAATTTTCCCACCAACGTCTGTGGGAAAACGTGATGAATTTAAATGTATGAATGCTCCAAACATAGTGACAAGCACCAGGCATGTCAACAACTGAGAGCCCTCATTTACAGGTGGTACAGCAAAATTTGACCTCACACAATTTGATGGTTAAATTTACTGGGAGGTTGACTTGGAATTTCATCCTTGCCTCACGATTTGACCTGATTTTTCCATTTTTTTCATTTTTGTACTTGTATTTTGATCATGATGGAGCTGTGTCTCGCAATTTGACAAATTTGCAATTTGGCCCTAGTTTGGCAATGGATTGAGGTTGGATTGTGAGGTACCACCTACACTGAAATCTGCATCAAGTGAAAAGAAAATGTAAAGGAAGCTTCACAACAGGACAATTTCATTTTAAACGTTTCCTGAAAAACCTTTTTTCCACCAAGACGAAACAATTCCTTGCCTGAATTATGTTCTTCAGACGTTGAGCTTTACTAGAGCAGAAACTAAGCGATTGCCCTAATTCAAGAGTTAATGCCTGTTCTTACTGTTGTTTTCAACGTTGATGGGAGAATGGGGCATGAAGATAAAGCAATTGCTTGTTTGAGATTACTGGTGCTTTGACAGTTTTAGCATGCTTTTGAAATCATGAAGATTTCCGAAAGAATGTCATAACATCCTGATTTACTCACACGTGTAACCCAAATCTTCGAGAAACAAAACTGTGATGCATCTTCCCTTAGGTTAAGTTCACTGAAGATAGCCTATAAATAGGTGACTCTAGCGAAAAACTTTTTCAGTTAGATTTTTCAAATGTATTGTTAGTTTGGGTAAGTTTTTACAGTGTAGTCCCAATAAGATGCTGCAGACAAATTGGTGCTTGCACCTTTTCCCTATGTTGGAGTTCACGTATTTTGGATCAGATTTTTCAATAAACTTCCATGGAACAGTTTCAGTCAGTTATCCTGTTCATCAAGAACAAGGAATAAAGTCCCCGAAAATTTGAATGCACATTTTTCTCAACTTAAATATACAGTACTCAAAATGAGTGTGCAGAAGCAAACCTCACAGAATCTTATCTTCGTCTGGCATCAGGAGCTCAAGAAGCAAGGAGTAAGAATAAGTTTAGCTTTATACTGTGCACACATGATGAAAGAAACTCTGAAAAATTAGCAAGTTTCAAGATTATGAAGTGGAGTAATTTTTTGATGAAATTTGTTTTTAAATTCTTGAACATAAAAGCTCAATAAAGTATATTTGAGAGATGTTAGAATTTTCAAAGTGATGAAATTTCAACATTTTAGAAATGCTGGAGAAGTATCCGTATCCCAAGAAATTTTCCGGATGATAGTTGTTTTTTTACAGTTTCAAGCGTCCTTACGGCGAATCTCTCGTAAGTCTGGGTGTGTCCGTATGTCACGGCATCACTGCAGTTATGTAATAATTCATGACTCGGATATACTGCAGTACAAACGATTGTTTATGTATGGGTTTGGGCACATTTTTTTTAGACAACGTCAGATAAGCGATGGATTTATTTTTTTGCTCCCTACCGATGCTAATTGTAGTGAGGACTTCGAATTCACCGAAAGTTTACGTTTATTCAGCTGCTTGGAAAAAAGCAAAAGCTGATTGCGACGTCCTCCAGAGAAAATGCTCAAATGAGGGAATGTCTGATGACTTCACCGTATGCGGTATTTTATTTATTTGTTGGAAACCCAGTGTCCCCGCCTCGGAAAATCGGTGCATAATTTCCCCGCAATATTCTTTCGGCGTGGCGTGACCGCGTGACTGAATTATATCGGGTTACCTCGCGAAGCCATATACATTTCTTCTGCAGGGCAGACAAGCCCTGGGTTCGTCTGCTGAATTAAGTGAAAAAAAGGACTATTAAAAACAAAAACAACACGAGAAAGCAAGGAACGGATGAAGAAAAGCGTGGGGGGGAGCGAGAAACACGGTAGGAATAACAACAACGCCGAGTAGACACGCGGGTATGGGTAAGAATTGAAAAACTGATTTGCAGCTGCTCTTGTTGCAAACACACGCCCTTCAGAATCAATGCTGTTCTCTCACTTGTCAAAGTGTGACAGGCTCTGGTCGGAGTCGTGCTGTAATAAGGAATCGAAACTGGCAAAGATTTGTAGAACAACAGGGTGTGGTTCAGTCGAACTCGAGTCGGCGATTTTTAGAGGCGGCTTTTGTCGGCTGGAAATGGACTATAATACGATGGGTTTCCCGAAAGGTCTTGCAAATCGTTCGAAAATCCTCACCCGTGTTGGATGGAGCACAACTATCATGTATACCCTCTGCTTCATGAAAAAAAAATAATATTATTCTGATCCTTTTTTTGTTAAATTCGCGGTATAAATTCCTGTGAATGAAAGGAAGCATTTTATTGCCCGTAAAATGAGCGGTTCAATATTTTCTGTATTTCCTGAACATTTTTTAGGACTGCTGCTGCTCAATATGCTTACAATTTTTGGAGAAAAAAATTGACGCCTTTACGATTATCCAGATGAACGGAAGCCAGACAAGGAAACTTCCAAAGAATATGTGCTCACATTTTATGCAGCTGTTAAAATTGACAAATAACTGAGTACCTACTCGGTATTAGAGTCACAGAACTTTTTTTTTAGACAATTTCCGACACTGATGCAAAGATGATTTCCGCACGAAAACCCGCAGTCCGACGTTATTTCTCAAGTTTTGCAGAACTAGTGTTTATCATATTTTTGTTTCTGCAAGGGGTTCATCTCAATCTGAGGTCAAATTCGAAAACTAGTTTCAAATAAACCGCTGAAAACATGTTGAGATATAGGTATACGTGAAATATACAAATAAGTGCACAGTTTTATACACGTATAAAGTTGAACCTCGATAACCCAAATCACCCTTGATCAAATTCCTTGTTATGTCAAATTTTTTAAAGTCCCTGTCTAAATTTGCTTCGAAACTATGCATTGAAAACCTTCCTAACTCACAAGCTTTATCCTCCATGAACCTCTGTTACTTGCATTTTCTGGAGACCTTTTGGCTATTATTTTATCCGAACAGGAAAGAAAAAATCCAGAAAAATTTAACCTGTTGTGTTTTGAAATGAAATGAAATAATAATTGGGCAAATGAACTCCTCCTTCCAATAAGTTCAGAATCCTGTCACCTCACAGATGATGAAATAATTTAAAACCCAGAATATCCCGAATTATGATTTCCTGTAATTTCTATTCATTTTCCCCAAACATGGATACTTCTTTCCCTAACTCGAAACCTCCCAAACTCAAATTGTTTTCTTGGTCCCACTACAATAAGTTCGACTTGAAAAGGTCCGACTATATTTTACTTTATGCTTGATCGATTCCTACGAAATATTTTTTTGCAAAACAGGTTTCCAGACTCCATTACTGACGTCAAAACTCGTGGGAAAATTTTAAACCTTGCGCGTCTCGATCCTTACGACGTGGATTTTTTAAATGTTACAGTTAGTAAAGCATGCATTTCTAAAAAAAAAAGTATGCAAAAATGAAAATTGGCTGCGTTATGATGAGTCTCGCGGACTTTCGAAACGCCTCTGCTGATTCTGCTGATGACATTTACGAGGGTTGGTTCATAAATTCTGAGAATTTTTCAGATAGATCCAACGGAGTTGTAACAATTGGGAAATATTTTTTTACTCACATGGCTCAAACATTCGACAACACTTCCGTGCTGTTCAACATGCTCTCCGCCAATTTTAATGCATATTTTCATGCAATAAATCCAAAATTCAAACCAGTGTCAAGAATCAAGTTCTGTTGATTGATTTGGCACACTTTGCCTTATTCTGGCTGTTTCCAACAGTGAAGAACAACCTGAAAAGGGTTGATTTTGATGAAAAACGGACAGCCTCATTTCGGCCATTGAAGGGCAGAAATCAATCAACTAATAATAATGGGAGAACTCCATTTTTGGCAGTGTTTTGATTTTTGAATTTATTGCATGAATGAATGAACAGAACACTTTATTTGCAGCTTTTCAGTGGTCACAAGGTTCAATCAAGATTTCCACATACAAACCTCCTTCCCACCCAACCCAAATCAACTCAAAGACATTTAATCACTTCAGAGCAGGAAACAGAGCACAAATAGCTTGTTTCTGTATGAGGTTTAGTTGAATGAACAATTTAGAGAGAATTTTTGATGAGAAATCATATAAGGTCAACCGTTTATTTTGATCCTTTAAGGTTTCAGAAAGGGTCTCTTCATTGAATTCCAATACTTGTAAGTCTTTCTTCAGCTTGTTTCTATCAGTATGAAATGCTGAACATAAGAAAAGAAGGTACTCTGGTGATGCACAAACTAATGTATTTATGCTGCAGGAGTTACACCACTCAGACACATCAGAAAATTGCTGGATGAATTTTTTACTTAAGTGCCATGAATTTGTCAAAATAGCAACAGTATCATGTATTAAGGGGATGTTAGATGATGCAAATAGTAATGGCTTATTATTGCTGCAAGCAAGATCAGCTAGTAATTTACTTGAGTCTACAACATCACAATTATCATGACAAAATTGAGTAATTTGGATAATGCATTGAAATAGGCAAAGTTTATGCCGAACAATACCTGAGGGATGCAAAATGATGGGGCTATGTATGAGAGTTTTTTTTTTAAATACTGGAATATTTGAAACCCCCTTGGAATCCATTTCGAAAAGTCTCGGCATTTATGAACCAGCCCTCGTGTATAGACACAGGCACGTGCGCGTATCTCAGGCACACGCCTGAATCGTGAGCGTCTCGTTTCACTTGATGCTTTTCCCTCAGCAATGGGACGATTTCCTCGCTCATTGCCAGGTTCCTTTTTGCCATGCGTGGGAAGTGTTTCGTGCCACTGCCCACGAGGAAATTAAATAGCGTTTCACGCTGACTCGGGGAATCCGATTTCCTCCAGCGAGTACGGATCCGTGTGCGTATATATACAGTACATGACTGCCATTTTTATTTTCATTTCTTGGTCGTTTTTTTTTTCGTTACTTCATTTTTAATGTTGGGCGTCTGCCCGGACGTGACGTCGGCGGTGGTGCAATTAAAAACAATTTGCCGTCGGACTGATTCCTGAGACTTTCTCCCCCCATCAGCAATCACGATATTTCCTGGGATGAAAAATAACGCATTCCTTCTTCAACGTTCAAATTATACCGGGGATTATATTCCTGGTGGCATCGGATTTCAAGACTGACTATTATTTTTTCAATTAACTTTCCCGTTGTTCCCAGGCGAAACATTTCTGCGGAATTATATTGTAGATGAAGCTTGTCCCTTTTTGGGCGAGGGTATTTTCTGAATGACAGGGAGGAATGGTCATTAGTTTTCTTTGTTTATTTTTGTACATGCAGTATAACGACAATAAGAATGTCTTATGAAATAGCTCAGCGAGACGATTAGTTTTTTGTAATGAAGGTATTATTGAGTATTCCGAATTTCCAATATCTACTCATTTTCTTCGGTGTTCGAGAGGAAAAAGCATTACTATACACCAGGGGCATGTTATGGTTAATTGGCTTCTGGGTGGAAATTTATTAAAATGACCACGTCTCCCCATTTTCTGATCCAGTAATGTTTCATTTTCTTCGGATATACGCATGAAAAACAGAAATGCACTCCCCAATCATTTAAAAAACGCTGCTTTTTCAGCATTTGTTGGGTAACTTTCCAGAACACCTTGATGTAAGTTCTGCAAAATAATGAAAAGCGCAAAATGACTATTAATTAGATTATCTTTCTTGATGAATACTGTATAAGTTCGAATTGAAGAATCTTGCTGGATATACAGTTGACATTGCTGATGGTTGTTTGACAAAAAAATCAGAATCTTGGCTTTTTCTATGTGGCAAATTGACATTAGCCAATTTTTGCACAGCCTCAAGACTCTGTGAAAGATGTACAGTACTTAAAGCTGCTCCGATCAGTTACCTGAACAAATCTCGGGGCGACGATTTCAAGACAAATCCGAAAGGCTCAATATTTTTAATCTCGGCTCACTGATGAGAGTCGGAAATGTTTCAATGCGTTATCGGAAGTAGTCAATATACACCATCGCATTCCGCCTATTTGACTAATTCTCTCGATAAATTTTGACGAGAATTTCTTCAACTCAACTTCGATCGATTGATTAATCTTAATTTCTTGCTTTTTCTTTCCAGGCCAAGGGACAAAATCAGTGTGCTTGCAAATAAAACAGCATGGTTGCCATTCGACATTGTCCGCAACAACAACCGCACTTTTTGGAGTAGACCTCGTCTGTAAAGGTGAGAAACTTGAGGCATTTTGTGCGACCTCCATTCTTGAAAGAAAAATAAAAACTACGGGATTTTATCTAACTAGAAAAACCCCCTTCTCTTTTCATTATTGCAGAAACATAGAAGAGAGAGAGGGAGAGAGAGCAAAATAAATAAACCGAAGGAATAATAGCGCCGAGAAAAACGACGACGACGACGACGTCGACGTCGACAGCAGGATGATGTCGAAGTGCTCGTCCCTGCTCTTCGTCGCCGTCCTGGCACTCATTACGTCCGCCGTCGTCGGTGTCGTCGACAGCAGCAACAACAACAACAACAACACCAGTCTGCGAAGTCGGAGATGGATCGCACTGTCGTCAGGCATTCCGGATCAGAAACACCAGCGCAGAACCGGATTCGGACCCCGGGTGTCGCACTTTGCCGGCGTCGACGACGGCGTCCAACACCACCTCGAGACCAAAGTCGCCGCCGTGTTCAACAAAGTGGCCTTCAGGAATCCCTCGACGACGACGACGACGACGACGAAGACGACGTCCAGCAGGTCCGTCATCGACACGAATTACTCCTTGCCGTCCCACATCATCGTCGACATCACTCCCACGGCTGCCCCGTCGTCGTCAGTGTCGGAGATGTTTGCCTTTTCCCGGCAAAATATCACGGGACTCGTCACGACGACCCCCCGGAGGTTGAATGGTTCTGTTCCAACCGGAGATCCGGCGAAGAAACGGAACCGGAACAAACCCAAAAAGCAGAAACCTTTCGTCATTGCTGTGGGTGTCGCGACGGAAAGTCCGACACTCGAAAAACTCGGCGACAACAGCCGCCAAATCCTCTTTGGGTCATCCACGCCTCGCTCAAGCTCCTTTTCGTCCACAACAATTGCTGCAGCAGCAAAAAAAACAACGACGCCGCCGACGACGACGACGACGACAACAACAAGTACTACTACTACTACAGAGACACCGACGACGGCGACAGCTAAAAAGTCCGTCATGCAACTGACGCCAGATCAAATTACTCCCAACGACTCGTCTTTCCTCCCCGACGATTTGTTATTGGTGAAAAACTCGACGACGGAGTTTCCAAAGGAACTCTTTTCCCGTCTGGACTCGGCTTGGGACGCCCACGTGTACACCTTCATGGCCCTGTTTCTCCTCCTGGCCTTTTTGTGCGTCGTTTTCGCGGCCAGACTCGCGTCCAAACAGCCCACGGCCCTGTCCAAGGGCTACAACGTGTCCATGCTCATTTTCGTCACGACTCTGGCAGTGACTCAGTCCGTGTCACTTTTCGCCGAATTCTACGGGGCGCAGGTGTTCAAACCTGAGCTGATCCCGGCCATGGCAACCCTGTCGTTGCCGTGTCTCACGTCCAGCTTCGCAGTCCTGTTCCTGGCTCTTCTGGACGCAACCCGGCTGCAAATCATGAGTCCCTACGTGCAGAACCCCGTGTCCATGGCCGGCGTCATAGTCCTGCACTTTCTCCTGAGTGTGAGCAGTGTCATGACCCTGGGCGACTCCATGATGGGCAAGTTCGTGTTCCTCCTGGGCCAGATTGTGTTTGTGACCTGGGCCCTGGGGCTCGCGTTCGGGTACTTGTACGGGTCCAGGGCCATGGTGCGAATGGCACGGACTCTCAGGCTGCAGGAAGCCATTGCCGGCGGCGACGGCAAGTACGCACCCAACCTCCTGGGCCCGATCCGTGTCGGGTTCCTCGTCGGGGCCCTGGTGTCTCTCACAGCCATCGTGGTCGTGTACACGATGGTGCTGTCGGTGCTGGACAAGCAGCAGCACCACCACCACCAACACCAGCAGCACGATGGATCGACGACGACGAGGAACAGCCCCTGGCCCTGGTGGCCCACGCACATCGTGCTGCGCAGCGTGGAAGTCGTGTTCGGCTTCCTGGTGCTGTTTGTGGCCCGAATGCCGCGACGATTCGACAGTGGCGGCCATCACCACCACCACCATCAGCAGCATTTGAGCGGCACCGCCAGTAAATCCCATCATCAGCATCCGAGCAGCAGCTGTCGAAACACGCTGTCGACGTGTCTGTCGTCTTGGCGACGAGCGCATCGCTACAGGAACGGCGTCAGCGACGTGACAGCTGTGTGGCAGACGCACAACAGAGGCGTCGTCGGCAGTGGCCGCGATGATGACGATGACGATGACGAAACCGAGGACCTGTACCCGACCTACTGCAATTCCAACCAGGCCGTGAAGAACTTTGAGAGGACCAACGGAAGACCCGTTTACTCGGATGCCCTGACCGTCGGGAATTTGCACGTGCGCAGTGTGACTCAGCAGCAGTGCTTTGCCATTGCCATGGTGCCCAAGAGGCGCCAGACCCGGCGTCGGGGTTACCCCAACACCCTGGCAGGACACCCTCATCACCAACATCAACATCATCATCAGCAGCAGCAGCAGCAGCAGCACAACCATCATCATCATCAACCCCATCTCGCCAACAACCACAACACCAACAACAATAACAATACCAGCAGTAATAATAATATGATGATGATGCAGAACAATGATCTGAGGACAGAAATCATCGACAGGAGCACGTGTTCGTGCACGAGGCCCGTGTCCATGATGAGCAGCGAATATCGACTGCCCAGGGACACGTATGAAACTGCTGCATCTCTCACCAACTTCCAGCAGCAGCCAAACAGAACAAAGTTCTATCCACATCATGAAGCTAACACTGTCGTAGCTGTTGCTGCTTCTGCTTCTGTTGGCGACGACGACATCAGCAATGACGCTGGCAGCCGTGTCGACATGGCTGCCAGCGATAACCTCAGCAGCAGGAGACAGCAGCAGCAGCAACAGCGTCAGAACAGCTACCCATATCATCAAAAGCAGCAGCAGCACTACCTGCAAAGCTCACCAGCATACCAACTACCAGCAGATTGCAGAAGTGGACGTCTGAGTGTGCCAAGATCCACCAACGCGGTGCGGAGACAATTCAGCAATGCATCGGTGCAAACCCAGCCCGTGAGCTCAGTGAGCATGCAGACGTCGCAAACGTCGCCGATCGTCGTGACAGCCGACAACCTGAGCTCCAGAAACAGCAGCGTGTTCGACATTGACAAACACGTGAGTGCGTGCAGTTCGGAAAGTGCAGCAGCGTCATCTTTCGACGTGCACATGTTCCTCGATGAAACCATGAGTCATGAAGAGGAGGAGGAGGAGGAGGACGACGTGTTCCCCGAGTGCGATATTCCCGAGCCGGTTCTGGACTCGGAAATGTTCCTGCAACATCAAGCGACATCTTTGTCATCGCCGTCTTACAACTCGCTGCCGAGTCTGGAAGTGGCGAGTCTGATGGCGCTGCAAGACCGCCTCGGCGGCGGATACGCCGCAGAGAACTGCAACAAGAATAATGTGAGGAAAAACAATAATGCGCGACTCGCGGCGCCACCGACGAGTTTTCGGACAGTGCTGCACCAGCACCGCGAGCCAAACTCGACAGACATCACGCCAGACTCAGCTGTCGTGGCTGACATGAGTCAGTTGAGCTCCTTAGCTGTACCCTATGGTGACGAGGACGACGATGATGTTGATGATGGGCATGTCAATGGTGATTATTGCAGATTTAAACTCCCTAAAAATAAACACTTACGGATACAAAAAACAGCAGAGCCACACTGTATTATACGCAGCCTCGTATAGCAGATTAATTTTGAGATTAGAATTGACATTTTATTGCCTTTAAAATAATGAAGAAAATTGCAGCATTGTCCCTGCTTAAATGTTCTGATAAAATTATGTTTCCCCTCACAGTTACTGTACAGTCAAACATTTTCAAGTCAAGTTTCAAGAGACCAGTAAAGAAAATTGAGTAATGGAGGTTTTGAGTTTGGGAAGCAAGTATTTACGTTGTTGGAAAGATAGAAGAATTTAAGAAAATTGTAAACAGTGACATTCTTGACCTTAAATTGCTTCTCAAATGAGTTGACAGGATGCTGTATTTGGAGACAAGGGTTCTTTTGCCCCATTAGTCTTTTACTTTATTTCAACACCTATCAAGTGGCAATTTTATTATTTTCTTCTCCCTGTTTCAAGAGAATAATAGCCAAAAGGCCTCAGAAAAATTGAGTTCTATTGAGAGGAAAAGCATTTGAGTTAGGGAAGATTTTAATGTATAGTTTTAAAGGGAGTTTAAATGGGTACTTAAAACAAATTGACTCAGGGAGGGTCAGTATTTGACTTAGGAAGGTTGATTCTAGTTATCACGGCTCAACTGTATCATTAAGAAAATAAAATAAAATCACACAACACAAACTAAAAGTAGAATCGCCACAAATTATGTGATGAGATTTATTTTCATAAGCAATAAAAAACCCCTGATGTGCCAAAGAAAATTTTGTGCACGTGATGCAATCACGCACATGCAACATATCAAAGTGCATAACTCAGTTAATATTTGACATAAAAATGTGCATGTGGTCTTAAGTTAACGCTAATGTGTTTCAGGACTTTTTGTGATGATGTTTAAAATGACCCTGAGCTATATACAGTACTCAACTATTGACAAGCTATCCTTTTCTCATAGGTGAAAAGAATTTTCGTTTTAACTCAAGCTTGTTTTGCAACAGTGACTTCAGTTTTCTTACAACTATAGTTCATCCCTTCCTGAATAAAATGTGGTTCTGCCCTGCTGCAGGTGATGATGACGACGATGAGGAAGATGACCTCGACGATGGCCAGCATTCCAAGCGTTCCGTGGCGAGTTCCATCAGCGACTTCTGGAAACTGAGCACTCGGTCCATCAACGATCTCTTCAAGTCGAGTCCCGTCGTGCGACAGTCCCGACGCAAGGCCAAGGACATCCTGGACCGACTGCAGCTGGGCTCCAACTTCTCGCTCAACAACTCGTCCATGTCCCGGGTGAGACGCTACAGCCCCCTGGACTGCGATGACGAGGACAGGAATCATCATCATCATCATCACCACCACCACCAGCAGCAGCAGCATCAACAACAGCCTGTCAGCAGTCTCAAGCGCTTCTGCAGCGAGTACGAGGTGCACTTGGCAGAAATGGACTCGATGCTGAGTGCAGAAATGAGTCGCTTGTCTCCCATCGACGACGACCATCATCATTTCATCGGGGGTGCCAGTGCTGAAATGAACGATGATGTTGACGATGATCAGAGGCGACATCTTTCGGCGGCGGCGGCGGCAGCAGTAGGCGGAGATGGAGCATATCATCCGTCAGCATACGCTGCCAACAACAGCAGTAGGCAGCAGTTTGTTGCTGCTGCGAGACATTCGAGAGGCACTTGGTGCGACGATTCGTTCGACGTGCCAGTGGTGTCGAATGGATTCCATCAGGACCTCGTGTTGTCACCTCGACAGCGACAGCAGCACCAGTTGCTGTCATCAGCATGTAATTACGACTCATCCGCAGACAGTGGCAAAAGCCTGGAGCTGCTGGACTCGGTCAACAGGGACTGCGAGGATTACGGCGAGTCAGACGTGGATGTCAACCCCAACATCCTGAAAGCCAGGATCCTGAAAGTGTGTGATAACATTAGGCAATTTAGTGATCAGCCCGCGTTGAATCAATCCAGCAGTGTCGAGAGTGCTTTTTGATCGATGATGGACCCGACCGACCTTTTTTTTTTTTGGAAAGGAGTTAATTGCTGTTGTTGATGTGTTTCGAGAGAGTGTGTGTCACCTCCAGAAATCATGACTTGCTGCAGTGACGAGATGATGATGATAGCTTTGTTTTTTCTGGGTTTTTTTTTTGTGTTGCTTAATTCGTCGTAAACCGATTGATCGTGTTACTATCTGTCCTTATTGAGTTCCGTGACGTGTCTCCAGTTTGTTTTTTTTTTTTCCTTTTATTTTTGCTGTGCAGTTCCGGAAAATTAATTAAAACAACGGCGATTTTACATGCGTTTTCTTTCATTTCAACTCGAAATTGCGCTCACTTTTCGCATGAAGCCAAAATACAAACAAGCAACTCGCCAATACATACATGAGCGGTGTATTTCGCAAATTTTCGGCTGATGAAATGGTCAGGGAATCAACATGAACAAATCTCAGATGAAAGAGCAGACCCCTGTGAGTGAATTGGATGATTCAGAAGGAACCACATTACAGCATTTCTACCATATGTAATTTTGTTTGATTATATTTTTCAAGGCAAGCAACACATTGGTACAAAGGTAGCAGTTTCAAGGAAGGAAAATAATAATCTGTATTTAAGAAGTTCTCTCTTTATTTCAATCAGAAATACTGCATCTATTAATTATATGAAAGACTTTGCATTATCTGTTTCGGAAGCACTTTAAAGTATTTATTGCCCAAATCCCATAAAATTCTAGTCTAAAATGTGTTGAACACCATGAGCCTAGAAACAATATTTTTTTTATCAAACATTCATTATCTGGCCCCTATGAGAGTTCCTTGTAATGCGATTTTACTGTACCTTATTTTCAGAGTGTGTCGGCTTGTCCATCTTTCATGCCAAGAATTTGAAGATTAGACAATACTGTACTATACTCCTGATTATCTGGAGTCAAAATTAGAATTTATCGTAACTTATCTTCTATTATACGATTCAGATTTCGGGAAAGAATGTGCATTATTCTCAAAAATGCACTCCATTTGCCGCATGTCTGCGTGAAGTATGACTTTTACTCGCACTTTTTCTCCAACGTACTTCATCATGATACTGTATAATTTATTCATTAACGTGCTCTACTTAAATTAAACGAGCCTCTGATATATCACAAGATACCAAAATCGATGAGATTCTGAATGATCCCAGCAAAGCGGTGCATGACAACTGCTGCTCGGGGACCAGTCACAGTCTCCGTAATGAGTCTTTTGATAGTATCAGAATTTAAATCGACATCACTATCGAAATCGGGAACTGAGTCAAAGTCAGCAGTGACCAGTGGCAAAAGCCGTGTGGCCACGAGGAGACGAAAATCCCCCATGCCGACAAAGTCGAGCCAGAATTGCTGGAAGGAATAGTCTTCCTTCTTGAGCGGCAAGTCGAATTTTGCCATGAGGTCGAAGAGTTCTTGGTAGTAGACGGTTTCCAGAAGGAACTTCTCCATGGAACACACCTCGGCACTCACGCTGGAGCCGAAGAAGTAGTGCAAGTCTGGGAACGGAGACCCTTGCTGCACCATCTGGAAGTCGACTAGTTTCACCGACGCTATTTTCTTTTCGCCATTCTCGTCTACTTCGTCCCTGTAAAAAAAAAAAAAGAAATTAATATTGACAGAAAATGTAAAGCAAAGAATACATATTTTTAGCAGAAAAATTAGTACTGTACAGTACTGAGTCTTGGTTGAGAGCAGCTTTGAAGGTTGCTGAACAAAATGTCATGCCTCACGTAATCCAGTTGAACCTTGATAACTTGAACCTCGCAAAGAAGTCATTTACCTCCCTATGTCAAATTTGTTTTCAAGTATCTGTCTGAATTCGCTTACAAGAAATACAATAAAAAGCTCTCAAACTCAAAAGTTTTCCTTTTCAAAGCCCAATGATTTGAATTTTCTGGAGGAATTTGGGTTTTTATTTTATTGAAACATGCAAGAGAGACCCAATAAAAATCCCACTTGATCTGCTTTGAAAGGATATGAAGGACAAATTGGAAAAATAAACCCTATGCTCCAAATTCAGTATCCTGTCAACTCACATTTATAGCAATTTAAAGCCTAGAATATCAAAAAGTATAATTTTCTTTTTTTTCTTAATTCTTTCTTAGTCCGCCATAGATGTTTGCTTCCCTGTATCTCAATTTTTTGTTGGTCCCTTGAAGTTTGACTTTAAAAGGTTTGACTTTATTTCTAGAACAGTGTGAATCTCATTTGCAACAGAAAATTCAACTTAGTTTTTTTCTTTTTTAAATCATTCTCAAATGCATCAGTGTTATTGGCAATGGATATGTCAACCAGGCTCAAAAATATAACTTTGAATCAAAATACTGTGCTTCCAAAAATAAATAAACCTTCAACATTTTACCTTATCCGCTATAAAATCTTGCTCAAGAATAATGTAGACATGTCCTTGCGCACATCATTGAAAAATATCCAGAAGAAAATTTAAACTTGAAAGCACGCATTTTAAAACTGAAATCAGTTTATCATGGCAGCCAATGACATAGAGTACTGTACAGTACTTGCCACTCTAAAATAATCTTCCACTATTGCATTTGCAGAAAGATAAAATACGAAGCATACCGATGAAAGCTTCAGTCCAAATATTTCTTGATTGGTATAGGTTATAAAGCAATTGAAACCAATGAGCATTTTCTCTGTCGTTATCACAATTGAGGCTACAAATGATTACTTATTGTTGCATCACATCAGACGGACGAGCGTCCCAGAGAGACAAAAGTTTTCGCAATAAGTTCCAAATTGCAGTGCTTTTTTAACTTGTCAGAAAATTTTTCTTGAAGTGAGCCTCCAGGTTTCATAGCAATCATGATTCTCTCTAATTTCCCTATCGCGTGAATCATTGGAAATCTTCTACAGGTACAGTACAGTATTGTCAACTACGAACTGTACAATGAACTTTAAAGTTCTTGAACTGTACAGAGGTACAGTAATTCATGCTCCAAATGGTGTCATTTATGCGGTGTAAACACATTGGTTGAAGCATCACCAGAGCGCCTTCTTTTCTTATGCCCAGCATTCCACAGGTACAGGAATGAGCTTCAAAAAGATTTGCGACTCCTAAAATTCAAAACTCTTTCTAAAATCTTAGAGGTCCAAGATAATCTAATAACCTTTTATGGTTTCTCATCAAAGATTATCTGCAAATTGTTCAATCAACTACAGTATACCTTATCTTGGAGCAGGTTGAACACCTTGTGCTTTAATTTGGTTTTAGTAATTGCTTTATGTTGCAATTTGGATTATTGATATTTTGTTTTTGTGAACAGGGAAGGGAAGAAAGTGTACATATTTAAATCAGTTTTGGGGTAGCACTTTTTATTTTCTTGTAATGTCCATGTTGAGCTTGCTCATCCTCTATTTCCCATTCTGAAGTGAAGAATGTGTTTGGATGAATGTGGGTGGGGAGGGGAGGGGGTTTAGATGTGGGAACAGTTTTTGAACCTTGTGAATGTTGGAAAGCAGAACATACAGCTTGTTATTCACTTTGAATGAAATTTAAAAAATTGTGTTATGTAAGTCTAAGGGAAAACAAGACTCAATTTAGGGAGATTTTGATTTTGGGACACTCTTGATGCACCAATTACATCCGGATCTTGGGGTTTCACCGTATTTTACTTTTATTGATACAGTACTTGACTTGTGCCTTACTCACAATTGGCTACCAGTAAATATTGCAATTTTCATCACCAGACAATTCCCAAAAAAACATTTTCACGAACAGTTCCTTTCAAGCACTCAAAAAAATGGGACTCCTTCTTGGGGGACATATTAAAGACTCGCCTCAGAAGCTGGTTGTTCAGCCAGCAGTCCCCCAGGCGGTACCCGTCCAATCCTGGCACTTTAGTCCCGTACCCGGTGAGTCGGCCAAACAGCGCCGGCAGTTGGTCCGGGCCGCAGTACTCGTCAATGTACTTCTTCAGCCTGTCGGCGTTGGCCTCGTTGCCCGGCAAGGCCCTCAGGGCCCGTTCCAGCTGGAAGTAGGCAGAATTGTCTCGACACACGGACTGCAGCAGTTCGCTGCTCTCGTACGGGTCCACGTGCAGTACTCGGAATGCAGACCCGTCTCGGTAAGTACGTCCCAGTTTGCGGGCCAGGGAGATCCCGTTCGCGTGGAATTTGGCCAGGGATTTCAGAATGGCGGTCGTCTCCTCTACAGTTGCCCCGAGCAGCCTGAAACATACACACGCATGGCAAAAATAACAAGAAAAAAACTTGAACAAAAACAAATAAATGAAAGAGTATAGCAGTGCAGCAGAGATACTCTCAAAGCGCTGCTCCACATAAACTTGCGAGGGTTTCCAGCACTGAAAATTGGACAATCGACAAATTGAAGAATGAGAAATACAGGAAGCATGAACCAAAGGAAAAAATAATGTACTGTATACAGATGATCTCTCTGTACAACGAAATTCTATAGGTGCCATTAAAAAAATTTTTAAGAGATACAGTACTGTTATTTCGCTTAGAGCACCCAGTATAATATTTTTGTAAGTTACGCCCTCATGAAAATCGTTTGAAACATTTTCCTCGTCGTGTGTGTGTGTTTTTTTTTTCGTCTGCCGTGCATTGCATTCTGAATTCGTATAAACCACAGGAAAGGAAATCCGCTGCGTCATAAATGATGGATTCATCCTACCCATGCCCAGCATTTCTTCCTAGATGGAATCCACGAACCTGTCACCCATGTAATAGCCAAAGGGCTGCAGGTCTTCCAGGACGATAATGGGATCCGGTCCGGATCCATTCGCGAGGAAACACCTCGGGACATCAGGGTACAGGCTGCTGGGTAAGCCCAGTTCGTCAACATTTCTCTTCATACTGGGGATCAACTCGTTGTAAACGCAGGCTTCTCTTTCGAATGCGAGCAGGTCGGTCACAAACATTCGATCTTCCTTTCCTGTAGAAAATGGTTCATTTTTCAAGAAATAGGCTTCACAAGACGGGAAATAATTG